ACTTACACATTTATTGGGTCTTTCCTTCACTTTCATTCAAGCACTAGGGTATTACAGTAAGTGTTTTAATTATAATATTTATTAACGTTATTATTTTGAATTTTTATTATTATTAGTATTATTATTAACAGGAGAGGAGTGTGTGTGTGTGTGGGGGGGGGGGGGGGTATAATGGTACACATGTCCACATCCCAATGCCCGCCCTTCCAGGACTGGGGGTGCGGGGGTGTACAATAAACTATACCCACATCCGGCGGCAGCTTGTCGAAGGCGGAAGTGTAGCCTAGACTATTTGTCATGATAATTAGTGATGACTCTTATTTTGATTATGGGTCCGTAATCCAGCTAAGCTTTTATTCTTAATTTATATTACAATGCTGGTAAAATACACTTCTTGATGATGAGTATGGAGTACAAATGAACTCATTGTGTACCCAAGTTCAAGTTCAAGTGTGTTTATTGAGATAAGCAATAAATACATCTCAAAGGGATAGAGTAGCTTAGGCTATTTCAACCCCCCTCTAATTCAAGTCCCTCAAGGGGTGCACAAATACTGTGACTACAAATAGACAAATAACATTACAAGAATCCAAACAAGAATTGTGTACCCTATACTCACAGGATGAATATAGGGTACACAATAAACTACCACTCACATCATGGGTATGGGTTGCACAAGAAACTATCGCGCAGAGGATGAATATGGAGAGCAAAGTAAACAAAGATTCACACGATGAGAAAGGGTTGCGCAATGTCCTATGACTCACAGAATGAGTATTAGCTGCACAATAAACTACAGGTCACAGGATAAGTATGGGTTGCACAATAAATTACAGGTCACAGGATGGGTATGGGCTGCACAAACTACCGGTAACAGGATGAGTATGGGATGCACAATAAATTACGGGTCACAGGATGAGTATGGGTTGCACAAACTACTGGTAACAAGATGAGTATGTGGTGCACAATAAATTACCGCACAGAGGATGAGTATAGGGTGCACAAACTGGTTGGGTAAATGGAAATGGTTGGGTACATTTCCTTTCACCTAATGCGACTATTCATGTGTCCGAACACCGGCGATTGTGTGGTATTGGCTATTTATTTAACCATAACTTTGCATTCATTTAATAATTATATTAAGACATGTTTTCCTTGAAATGTAGTTACATTATCGTCTACATGGCTTTATTCTGACATAAAGACCTATGGCGTTACTTTGCATATATGCAAAGTAATTATAAAATTGATTGGCTTGTGTGGAGGCCTTCACACTCCCTGAGCGAGCCATCAAGTAACTATAAAAAGGCATATATCTTAACTTTCAATTCAGTTATATTTATGCCAAATTATTAACATGCAGCTTATATTTATGTCTTTATGATGACATAGAAAACTTCGTTTATTACAATATCTAGATTAAATTAACATTGATCTTCGGAAGGTCATAGTTCCCATATCGGTAAGGAGAGCGTCGGCCATGAAGCCTTGTTTAAAGTATGAATATTTTTCCTCTCTAATAAGGTATAATCTCTGTGATGGATTCACAAAAACTATTTTATATCTGCCTTTCTGATAACATATACAAATATAATCTTTATTTGTGAATATTTCTTAATTAAGCAATATATCAGAGGGCGTGTAGGGTTCGGTGTTCAATGAACGAAAAGGACTGGATCACTGTGTACAGGAGGCTGATATGGCAGCAAACACTCTCCTGGCGACCATATATCTTGGATAAGTCGCTCCACACAATTGTCGCTTGGACCGTCGACTTCCTATGGCGTCACCTCTCACATATTTACGTCTAATTTCGTTATGAAATTAGATTATTTCAGAGTAAAAATAGGTTTGATCATGTTCTATGTGTAGCACCAACATTATAGTAAGTAAATATACCATATTTCTTCATTACTTACGTAATGCTAAGACGATTTGGGTAGTTTTGGGCTGATTTGGGTCGATTTGGGTAATTCTATGGACCGCTCAACAACAACAACACACAAGTGTGTCAAACATTCTTGACTCGTGCGCTTAAAAACAAAATACAAATGATAAACATAAGGAAATGATAACAGAGTTTCAGCTTTATAAAATACACAAAATTAACTGATTTCATCCAGCTGTATTTTAAGCTTCAGCAATAACTCTGTCCCGTGGGGCAGTGGTAAAGCACTCGCCCGGCGCTTTGCAGGGGCTTTGGCCTGGGTTCGTATCCAACTGGTAGGGGAGTCCTTCACTGTAGCCTCTGTTCAACAAACAGTACTACCCTAATTGTCCTTGCAGGGGTTGAGCTTTGGCTCTTTGGATGAATGAGTGAATTGGTTCCCGGTTGTTAAACGATTTGGCAGGTCGTAGTCCCGCTAGTACAGTCGGGTTTGTTCTCGACTCACACTCGAGAATTACGGGTTCGGGTTCAACATTAGAATCTGTGAGATTCTTTGAGGATTTATTTATTTTGTTTTTATTAACAAGCTTAGGTATACACAGCAATGTGCTGCTAACCTATTCTATATGAAAAATTGCAGTGTATATAAAAAAAATAGCTATAAGTTCACCTAATATTTCCATCTCAGGATGGTTACTCATACATCTAATTAAATCAAATCAAATCAAATGTTTATTCAGGTAAATTGCCTTCCAGTGAATGCAATTCACTAGAATTCCTCTTTTTTCCAATTCAGTGTTGCTTTGATCTCAATTAGTAATTAATTAGTGCTTTGATCTCAATTAAACTTTTGCCTTATTTAAAAGCAAAACCAAAAAGTACCTAACTTCATCTTCTTAGTTTCCTACACTGAGCTTTAAATTTGCTCTGTACCTAGTGTTACTCAATCTCCTAATTTTTATGTAATTTCAAACAACCTTATCATTGTGTTCATTGCTGTCTTCTTTTATGTGCTAGCCATATGCTGTATTGTGACTACCAATTTTTGTCAACTACCATTCAAGCTGTCATTGCAACCAATCTTATATTGTTTCTGCTGTATTATGCCTACCAAATTTTTTTGTCAACTACCATTTTTGTTGTTACTCAACACAAAGCTGCTGTTGGAGCAGTGTCCAATTCTGGCCCCAGACATCACTCGGTGCCCCTACTCAAATCTCTGAATATGTTAGACATTAAGTCACTGCACATTCTCTCATGTGTATTATACATATATAAAACGCTAAACTATAATGCCAATCCTGATCTCAAAAGCTTCATAGAAGGTTGTAACAGAACCCATGAGCACCACACTAGAAATAAATACAGTTTTGATATTCCTAGAGTACGACTTAATCAAACTAGAAATGCTCTACAAATCAAGTAGCCCAGAATGTGGAATGACCTTCCCAACCATGTTAAAGACTGTACCTCTCTCAACCAGTTTAAGTTAAAAGCGAAGCTATACCTAATAAATTCCCTGTAACCTACCTTACCCTTCTATTGTCAACCAATGTCTGTTTTTTCTTTAAAGAGCGCTGTTTGTCGACATAATTGTATTTGTGCTGCTTTTTCATCTATGTTTTCATTTCTTGTTTTCATTCTACTCATTATGCTCAATTAGTATTAAGCTTGTCATTTAAGTTTATCATGCCCGAAACGCTTTGCGTAATAGTGGCTTTAGGCATTGTATGTACTAGCTCCACCTATAAGTCAACCAATCCTTGTATAAATTTATTGTATGTATGTACCTTACCTAAATAAAATTGTATTGTATTGTATTGTATTCAAGCTGTCATTGCAATCAATCTTAGCTACCTATGTGCTTTAATATACTGTACCTACAATTTTCTCTCATTTTTTTTTCATTTCATGTAATCTGTTATCATTTTTTGTCTATAATTTTGCAAGTATTTACCTCCTTAAAATTTTCTTAGATTAAGGACCTGCCCGAAACGCTGCGCGTGCTAGTGGCTTTACAAGACTGTAATTACCATATTTGTATCCTCACATTCCTTATGTACATTCTTGTATATGCATAAATAAATAAATAAATAAGTATTAAGTTCTAGTCTAAGTGTTTTTTCCCACGCCTTGCCCGAAATGCTGTGCGTAAAAGAACACTGCTTTTTCCCAAAAAATCGGTGGGTTTTCTGAGGGGGAAGGAAAACGTACGTCTAGGAGCTGAGTCTAACTGTCCAAGCTGTGCGGGCAACGAGCCAATGTTATATAAGCTCTGCCCGCAGACTGGGGGGCCCCTGTTCTCGACAAGCAAGCAGCTGCTCACTTACAAAACGCCCACCCTCCTCCCGGGATCCTCTGCATCCCCTGTTTTCTTTTCCAAGGGATAACCCACAAACAGGCTCAGGGGGGCACTTGTTCTAGCTTGCTAATCATTTGCGGTATCTTTGGGGGGGCTCCGCTGGAACCCCCAAAGTGATAAGCCTGCAGATAGCTAAGCAATATTACCATGAATTGTAATTAGTGTAAATTCAAATAATGCAACTTTCAGTTACTAACTATAGATGTAACTATTAATTGTTGTTGATTTAATACTTTATGATTATAATGATTATGCATTATAATAAATATTTAATACTTTATTGTTATGCATTAGTCACTAATTATTTATCATTCACCCTAATTAGCTATTTGATTCATTAAAAATAATTGCTTATCATTATACTATGTTATTATTATTATATTATTTATATAATAATAATTTATTTATTATTAATTTATTATTATTAATTTATTATTATAAATTTATTATTAATTTATTATTTATTATTAATTTATTATTTACTATTATAAAATAAACAAGTCCTCAATCTGAGCGCGTTTTCTTCCAACCGCAGAAATAGTGGCTTTAGGCCACTATTTAATAAAAAAATTAAATTTAATAAAAAAATATTATCTAAGCTTGTTAATAAAAAAATCACTCAATACTTTATTTAATCTCTCTCTCTAGAAACAATTACTACATGACACATTTTTAAATTATTACATGACGTATGTAAAAACTGAAGATACCAATGGAAATAATTTTTATTATAATAATTTAAATTTAGCGGGCAAGTTAAGGCCAGGCCTGGAGCCGCCTGGCGGCGGTAACGCGTCGGTCAACAACGACCCACCGACCACTACACCTAATTGGTAAGTTCTCTCGCCTTTAATAACTACACTACTACCTTCTTGTACATGTCTCCTCAATTATGCTCTAGCCCAAACACGGCCATTACAGCCAAACAACATTTAATATGCTTGTGATGTAGTTAGTAGTAGTGCGAGGCTTTGTGTGATAATGCAGGTTAGCATGATTGCGCGGAGAGTCACTTTATCTCGCGAGTACTCCGTCTCTCCTGCTACTAATGGTCTTCTCGGCGGCTTCGCTAGCTACACACCTCCTAAGACAACATTATCTGCTCGAGGATAGATGTTTATGAGGAAGGCGGAGAGTGAGAGAGAGAGATGTGGAGGATGGCAGGGTGACCCGCCGCGCACCCTCGCCAGGTCCTCCATCTTTGTTGTTGTTGTTGTGTGGCGGGTCACACGCACACCTGACGCTGTCACATGTGGCGGGTCACACGCACACCTGACGCTGTCACATGTGGCGGGTCACACGCACACCTGACGCTGTCACATGTGGCGGGTCACACGCACACCTGACGCTGTCACATGTGGTGGGTCACACACACACCTGACACTCTCACATGTGGTGGTCCCACACTCCTGGTCACACGCACACCTGACTCTCGCATGTGGCGGGTCACACACACACCTGACACTCACATGTAGCGGGTCACACGCACACCTGACACTCACATGTGGCGGGTCACACTCACATGTGGTGGTCCCACACTCCTGGTCACACGCACACCTGACTGTCACATGTGGTGCTCACACGCACACCTGACACAGTCACATGTGGTGGTTCCACACTCCTGATCACACGCACAGCTGACATAATGGATTCCTAGAAATAATCCTCAAATTGTGCTATAATGTACCTGCTGATAATCCTCAAATTTTATTATAATGTACAGTACCTACTAATCTTCTTCAAATTTTCTTACAATGTTCCTGTTAAAATTTTTCAATTTTGCTAGAAATTAGCTGCATAAAATTATATGTTAGATGAAGGACCAGATATAATCTTTAAGTAAGATTAAAGATTATATTGCATTTTAGTGGCTTTACAAGAATCTAAAAACATCAATGTTATGTACAGTACTCTCATAAACCCAAAGTACCTTCTTGTATATATGTAAATAAATAATAATCAATATTTGTATATTATCAATATTTGTATCACCCCTTGTATGTATGTACTTTACCTGAATAAAGATTTGAATTTGAATTTTGAATAAATAAATGTGTGGCTTGGTAAAGGGTAAAGTCAACCATATCCAGATGATTGCCAGTTATAGACAATAGTGCTAAAAATAGTTTGGTACTTGGTGCATAGAAAGAAACAGCGGAATTGCCAGGAACTCTTCACTTATACATACTAAAGTAACATATTACATATACAGTACTGTATTTGAAAAATATTTGAAAAGCTAATCTACAAGCAGCTTTACTCTTACCTAGCCAAATACAATATACTTAGCTATATGCTTATATCAATGATATAACCTCTCCCACTCTACCACTAACTGTAGGAGTGCCACAGGGCAGCATCCTAGGACCTCTTCTATTTCTTATATACAACAATGATCTGCCTAATGTCTCTTAACATTCTTAAACCTGTATTATTTGCTGATGATTCTACCCTTATCTACTCAGACCCTAACCTACTCAAATTAAATAATGTTGTAAATAATGAATTAAAAAAAATCCACTTGGTAATGTCAATCAACAAACTCTCACTAAACATAGAAAAGACCTACTACATCTTACTTGGAAGCAAATCAACAAATGCAATTCAGCTTCAGATAGACAATGTTAACATCAGCAATAAAAATGATGTTAAGTTCCTTGGCCTATACTTAGACAAGAGACTCAATTTCAGCACCCACATACAACACATAACCAAGAAAGTCTCAAAAACAGTTGGTACTCTCTCTAAAATTAGATATTATGTTCCAAAATCTGTTTTCCTCTCACTGTACTTTGCACTAATCTATCCCTATCTTACATATGGTATCTGTGCTTGGGGTTCAACCACTGCAAACTACCTCAAGCCCATCATCACCCAACAAAAATCTGCTATCAGAACAATATTAAACTCTGCTTTCAGACAACACTCAGTTCCCATGTTTAAATCCCTAAACATAAACTCACTCCACACGTTCTCTTGTGTCATTTACAGTTACAAAACCCTGTTCTGAAACTCTTCCTGGACAGATGTAATAGAACCCATAATCACCACACCAGAAATAAATATCTCTTTGATATAACCAGAGTCAAACTTAATCTGTGTAAACACACTATGCAAATAAAGGGAGCTAGTCTGTGGGACTCACTCCCAAACGAATTGAAACTAACTAATTTTAAGGACTACCTTACAGGAAACTATCCAGAGTCTCTGTACCTAACTCCCACTAATTACTCTGATGTTGATGAGATAACTTTGTCTTAAAAGAAAGAATTAAGTGCCCTTGCTGAGATACCAACTCTAATTTACAAAAAAGCCTCCAGATTTCTGGCTCCTGCCATTGCATTGCTCTACAACAAATCACTTGAACTCCAAACCTTTCCAGATATTCTAAAAAAAAAAACAAGAGTAACATCAGTCCATAAATGTGGTGATCTTACTGATGCCAACAATTTCAGACCTATATCAATTCTGCCAACATTGTCAAAATTATTTGAAATGCTAATCTACAAGCAGCTTTACTCTTATCTAGGCAAACAAAATATACTTAGCTCTTGTCAATATGACTTTAGACTCCCAAAAAGCACTAACGCTGCACTGATTAGTATGATTAACTTGATACATGCAGCTCTTGATAAAAATGAGTTCCCTGTTGTGTTATTTGTTGACCTACATAAGGCTTTTGACACTGTCAACTACCAAAACCTTCTTTTTAAATTACATCATTATGGAGTCAAAGGTCACTCCCTGCAATACCTTCAGTCTTACGTTAGTGACAGGCTCCAGTATGTTTCTGTGAATAATTCCATTTCTCCTACCCTACCCATCAACATTGGTGTTCCTCAGGGCAGCATACTTGGCCCTCTCCTCTTTCTCATCTATATTAATGACCTTCCAAATGCCTCCCAGCACCTCAAACCAATTCTATTTGCTGATGACACAACCTTCATTTACTCCAGTCCTGACCCCCTTGCTCTAAATGTCACAGTGAATACTAAGCTAAATAAAGTCCATCTCTGGCTAACTGCCAACAAACTCACCCTCAACATTGACAAAACTTTCTATATTTTGTTTTGCAATAAATCCTCAAATCAAATAAATCTCAGGATAAACAATACTCAAATTTGTAACAAAGTAGATGGCAAATTCCTTGGAAACAAGCTGAATTTCCAGGGATACATTCTAAATATATAAAAAAAAGTTTGAAAAACTGTTGGCATTCTTTCTAAGATCGGATATTATTTATTTATTTATGCATATACAAGAATGTACATAAGGAATGTGGAGAATTACCATACAAATATGGTAATTACAGTCTTGTAAAGCCACTAGCACGCGCAGCGTTTCGGGCAGGTCCTTAATCTAAGAAAATTTTAAGGAGGTAAATACTTGCAAAATTTATAGACAAAAAAATGATAACATTATGTACCTAGCCCTGCCCCTAGTGATGTTCTATTAGTCTCTCATCTATCCTTATCTCAACTATGGTATTTGTGCTTGGGGTTCTACTACCCAAAATCATTTACATCCTCTAATTACTCAACACAAAGCTGCTATTAGAACAATATCTAATTCTGGCCCCAGACATCACTCGGTACCCTTACTCAAATCTCTGAATATGTTAGATATTAAGTCACTGCACATCCTCTCATGTGTATTTTATATATATAAAACGCTGAACTGTAATGTCAATCCTGACCTTAAAAGCTTCCTAGAAGGTTGTAACTGAACCCATGAGCCAGAACCCACCAGAAACCCACCAGAAACCCACCAGAACCCACCAGAAACGAATACCTATTTGATATTCCAAGAGTACGACTTAATCAAACTAGAAATGCTCTACAAATCAAGGGATCCAGAATGTGGAATGACCTTCCCAATCATGTTAAAGACTGTACCTCTCCCAACCAGTTTAAGATAAAAACTAAGTGCTATCTAATTAACTCCATGTAACATAAAAACTAAGTACAGTACTACCTAATTAACTCCATGTAACCTACTTTACCCCTAAATGTCAACCCATGTCTACTACTGTATTTTAAACAATGCTGTTTGTTGACCAAATTGTATATTTGCTATTTTTCTGCCATGTCCCCCCCCCCCTTTTTTTTTTATCTTGTCAACACAATTTATACTTTAATCTCAATTAGTATTAAGTTTTAGTCTTAGTGTTTTTCCTGCCCAAAATGCTTTGCATAATAGTGGCTTTAGGTATTGTATGTACAGTACTAGCTCTATAAATCCATCAATGTTTGTATTTCACCTTGTATGTATGTACTTTACTTGAATAAACATTTGATTTGATTTGATCATGTAATTATTATCATTCTTTTCTTTTTTTCCAATTCAATTTATGCTTTTGATCTCAAACTGTATTGTATTGTATTTTATTCTAAGTATTATATTTTAGTCTTTAAGTTTTTTCCCACAACTTGCCTGAAACGCTGTGTGTATTAGGGGCTTCAGGCATTGTATGTACTAGCTCTGTCTATAAATCAAACATTATGTGTGTACCTCATTTTCAATGTACAGTATGTACCTATACCTGAATAAACATCTTATCTTTCTTAACGTATCTTATAAAAGGCATCTAATATGCAATTGTTAAGAAACAAAATATTATAACTTTTTTGCATGATTTTGTACATAGTATTTATGAAAATCCTACAGTAGTTATTTGTTATACAATTTAAGGGGGTCATATATGATTTAAAATTCTCCTTTGTTTTCAGACAGATGTATGGTCCTCAAGCTGAAGGATCACACTTGTCAAGACTCTGGCACCAACATTGACCTATTTTCAGTAGTCAGAATAAAAACAAATGCTGTATACAGTATCTCCAGACTACTTCAAAATGCCAAGAATATATGCCAAACATACTATGCTACCTTTCATATAAATATCAGACCTTAAAGGTCAGTGTTATTTCAAGGAATGAGCCACAGAACATGGGGTGTCTGGTTACTGGTGTCTAGATGCAAGGGAATGGATGAAAAAAAATATGAAAATACTAGAGTACTGACATCCTGTTATCTCCAGTAATATCAGGACTCGATGCTCGGTGATTCCCAGAAAATTAGTCACTGATCATTTGGGTACCTGGTGAAAATGTCCAACACGACTGAGATGCCAGTGTCCAGACACCCACAGAGCTTGTCATCCAGGAACTAGGTATGTTATTCTAGATGTGTTGCCTATTAGTATTAAAATAGAAATAATGTAGAATATAAAATACATGTTTGTACAGTACAGTACTTGCAAAAATCCATTATAAATGGACAATATATATATTGCCATCTCTGTAACCAGCACCAAGGTGCCCAGACACTTGGTATTGTTAGAATTCTAGACATTACAATTTTTTTGTTAATATCCCTTTGGGTATTATATTTACAGCCTTTATTTTGGTATCATTGTATAGAACAATATCTCTTGATTCATCCCATATATTTTCCAAGAAAATGTCATATTACCATTTTTATATTTAACTGAATGTTAGCAATTTAATTGCCCAGTCACTGGTTACTTTATCCAATTACAGCTACTCTACCAGAGACAGTTACGTCTTTAGTACTAGAATTATCTGTAAAGGTTCAGCTACAATAGTTGTTCATATGAGAAATCAACCAGCCCTTTCCATTACTTCAGTGAAAACAAAAACATTGGGGCTGATACCTGCTCGATACCTGTTGATGGGGTCCTGGAAGTTGTTCAACTCCTCAAGCCCAGCCCGAGGCCAGGCTTGACTTGTAATAACAAATAACATTTTTTTTTTTAGGAAAAGTACATACATAGACGCAGAGTTAGAAACATAATGTTGGATTTATAGATAGAGCTAGTACATACAAGTCTATGTTTTCATTTCTTGTTTTCATTCTACTCATTATGCTCAATTAGTATTAAGCTTGTCATTTAAGTTTATCATGCCCGAAACGCTTTGCGTAATAGTGGCTTTAGGCATTGTATGTACTAGCTATACCTATAAGTTAAACAATCCTTGTAAATATTTATTGTATGTATGTACCTTACCTAAATAAAATTGTATTGTATTGTATTGTATTGTACAATACCTAAAGCCACTAATATGCATAGCATTTCGGGCAAGGTGTGGAGGAAAAAGCACTTGACTAAAACTTAATAGTAATTGGGAGTAAAGTATAAATTGTGTTCAAAAAAAGGGAATTAAAAAAAAAAAAAGGGGGGAACATGGCAGAAATCAGCAATTGAACAAGTTGGTCAACAAATAGCATTGTTTAGACATGGGTTGACATTTAGGGGGTAAGGTAGGTTACAAAGGGTTAATTATAGGTAGTACTTGTTCTACACTTAAACTGGTTGAGAGAGGTACAGCCTTTGACATGATTAGGCAACTCGTTCTCGCAAATTTAATAAGTCAATATTGACTTATTAAATATGTGCATAGGTGACATACTTAACATAATAGATACCCTTAAAAAGATTCATAGAAAACACCGACCTTACCTAACCTTGTTAGTATCTTAAGATAAGCATCTTATTGCTTCGTAATTACAATTATTACCTAACCTATAATAGGTATAGTATAACTATAGTAGGTATAGTATAGTATAATATATAGTATTACCTAACCTATATTATAGGTATAACCTATAATAGGTATAGGCTAAGTAATAATTGTAATTACGAAGCAATAAGATGCTTATCTTAAGATACTAACAAGGTTAGGTAAGGTCGGTGTTTTCTATGAATCTTTTTAAGGGTATCTATTATGTTTAGTATATCACCTATGCACGTAGTTAATAAGTCAATATTGACTTTACGAATTTGCGAGAACGGGTTGAATTAGGGAGGTCATTCCAAATTCTGGGTCCCTTGAGTTGTAGAGCATTTCTAGTTTGGTTAAGTCGCACTCTTGGAATATCAAATAGGAATTTGTTTCTGGTGTGGTGCCCATGGGTTCTGTTACAACCTTCTAGCAAACTTTTAAGATCAGGATTGACATTGCAGTTCAGAGTTTTAAATATATAGAGTACTAACCTATACTTCTTCTCGAGGTCATGCTTTTTATTAATAGATTTAAGTATCCCCTTTGTAAGCCATGGATTGTTTAGCCTTTTAATTGTGACTTGTTTTGTTAGCATAGGACAGTGGGTGTTATAAAGGCTGACAGTTTTCTGAAGAAATGTTTGTACTACTAGGTTGATGTTCCCTATGTTACCTAATTCGATCTCCCAGTTGATATTAACAGCAGCAGCAGCAATAAAATTGCCTATAGAAGTTTCATTGTGCATCTTGAAGCTTATCTTCCTTGTATCTAGAGGTGGTTTATTAATGTTGGTTAGGAGAAATGTGGGGTAATGGTCTGTTGTTCTATCAATGATTATCCCTGAAGAAAACAGGGATCACATTCACAGATGTGAGAGCTTGATCTACCAGGCTGTGGCTTGGAACGGCTCACATATCCACCACAGCCCGTTGGTCCTGCACTCCTGAAAGAAAACTATCTAGTTTTCTCTTGAAGATGTCCACGGTTGTTCCCGCAATATTTTTTATACTCTCTGGGAGGATGTTGAACAACCGTGGACCTCTGATGTTTATATAGTGTTCTCTGAATGTGCTTATGGCACCCCTACACTTCACTGGTTCTATTCTGCATTTTCTTCCATATTGTTCATTCCAGTATGTTGTTATTTTACTGTGTAGATTAAACAAATACTGTGGGACCTGGCCCTCCAGTATTTTCCACGTGTATTGTTACGGCCAGCTTGGGCCAGTACCGGGTTCTTTCTGTCATCATGTCTTATAACCTCTTCTTCTTGATCCTACCCCAAGTCAATGGTAAGTTTTCAAGAACTGGTGGTAGCAAGTAACAGTGCACTGAATAAGGGGATGATAAACAATATGCAATTACACCTTCACCAATATATATATATCCCCAAGTATTACTACACATATTTAGACTGTGTCGCTTTCACTCGGGACACTCAATTGATCTGCAGTGTTCATCAACTCCCGGTGAGTCCACTATCTTCACATATACGTCGTCCACGCCCAATGGCACTCATCGGCGAGTTCACCTTCAACATAGGCCAGTCCACACATCGTATTGTCACGATGTCCCAGTACCCCACATCCGCTCTCCAGAAACACTGGCAGAGGGCTTCAGCCACAAGCTGACAGGGGTCTCAAATAATCATGTACAGGGGTGCTAACACCCTGGCAGAAGTCTCTAGCAACACACTAGCAGCACTTCTTAACAGACACCCTACTGTCATCTCGTAACCCTTCTTGGCCAATTCCCGGATACGTCAGTCCATACAACATTACATAAATCCAGCAGCTAACACACTGCTACTACCGACAGTGGACACTTTGCCCTCTCACAGGACCAAGTCAAGAGTTCTGGACTGCCCAAGGTGAACTGCCCTCCTCAGTATAATCGCCTCCTTACGTCACCTCTGTGAAAATAAAACATCATTAGCTAGACAGACAGTATTCTGGGTGACCTTAGGGTAACACCCTTCCACTGGGGAATTGACATTGTAATTGCTTTCACAACCTAGATGGTGTTGATATCCTTATGCCACCCACCAGAGGTCATTATCATCATCGACCTTACCTTCTAACCGAGGTATGAAACAGGAGCGTTTCATTGATGCCACACCACCGCCAGTAGATGGCGTTGTCTGTGTCGCACCTAATACCTGGGAGATGAAGTGCAGGTCCATAGATGGTGCCAAAATTGCCACTCCACACTCCAGCAATGGAGTGTGGTATTATTATTTTTCTCTCTCTCTTATTACCTTTCTAGTGAGTACATTTGGAGAGCTATGAGATGATCCCAATAATTTAGGTGCTTTATCGCGTCTATGTATGCAGTACGGTAATTGACACTTTTAAACTTGAAATTACCACAGGTTAATGTATGATATTTTCTGTTTATCTTTTTTGAAATTTATTGATTATTTGGCATCTGTCCTTTTGTGTAAGTTTCCAGAGTGTTGTTCTACCTGTCCTATTTATGGATTGCTGGCCGATACCTAATTCTGTCACCTCATACCCATCACCTTAGGTGGCGCTCCTCTCACTGGCATTTGGGGTGGATGTGATACCTCTCTCCTTTCTCTGACTGCCTCAGGCATTTTTCTACCTATAGCCAGCTCTAGCTTCTCTAAAACCTTCCTGGTCTTTGGATCATGAGTTGGCATTCTGGACCTTTCTTCATTATCGGGTTTTCCTATTGGTCCAGTGTTAATTTTTCATAGCTGCTTTTCTTTTGGCTCTTGCTTCTGGCCGTAGAGTAGTGGGGAGCTTCAAGCTCTTCTCTGGAGGATTGGTTTATATTCCTTTGGGCTCATTTTCTTAACACACAGCCTTCTCCTTCATTCTTTGCTAAGAATGAGACCTCTGCCTTCTGAAGGAATCCTTTTAGTTATTGGCACTTGGTGTGTCCCGCCAGGGGGTCCATCATACACTCTGCCCTGTGGCTGAGTTTAAACATTATTTGTGTTGCTTGTTCTTTTAAGGTTGAGACTTTGTTGACACTGTCTAAAGATTCTTTGTTCCCATGTCTGTCTCTGCAGGGTGGTTCAATTGGCCGGGTTTCCTCACTAATGATGTGTAGAAGTTTGCTTTCTTTGCCAGTAGTTCCACTGCTAATATTTGGGCACAGAGCTTCTGATATTCCAACAAGGTGTTGGTCACTCGTTACCTATTGGATGTTCCTCTGCCTTACTGTGCTTGTGTCGTGCTTGAGTATTTGGCATGAAGATTACTGGTTACCTTTCTCGATCCATACTCCTGACAGTTCTTCTTTCATGGGTTAACCCTGAATGCCTTTGTTTTTTTATACTTATTTTTCTTTCCAGAAAAGCTAGCTTCCTTTACTAAGGTGAGGCAGCATTGTGAGTAAGCTCAGGAAGCCACCGAGGGGTTCATTTCAGAAATCAAGTGTTAATGTCAAGAAATATAATTTCTAGTGGATCTCCTACCCCAGCCTATCCCACCTTTCCCATGGAATCCATGGGATTGGCATGGGTACCTTGAGAGTTGGCTGGAATCTTTGGCAACCCAAGCTGCCATTTGGCAGTGAGCAGGTAATTGCTTAAGTGTAATTACAGGATGAGAGCTACACTCGCAATGTCCCCCCTCTTCCCAATACTCTGTTATATAATGCTTTAAAACTACTGATGATTTTGGCCACCACCACCACCTCACCTGTTCCTGCCATCACACACCATCAGGTGTATCAGTACTATATTAAGGTATTTACCCCCCACAGAAACAATCTTTCACCTTGTTTTTCCTAGAATGCCTAATTTGTTTCTAGCAGCTAATTGTTCTTATGCTATCTGGTGTATTTTCCCCAATTTTGGCCCTTGATCTCTCTTTCCCTGCTCTCCGTACCTCATAGCACAAGCCAGCTTCAGGTATTGGCTCATGGTAGGTGAGGGATGGGTCTTGGAAATCTGTCATGTTGGGGTAAGACTTGGTTGTACTGAAGATAAGCTCAGGGGGCCACTGGGGGCTCATCAGAGATGGATGTTTTACTACACTCGGTCCTTTATTTTTGTATAAATAGTAACTGGTTTATTTAATTTTGTATTTGAATTCATTCAATAATGATAATTTGTTGGTTATTATTACTGATAAATATTTTGTTAACTATTTCTCTTTTTTCAGGTTGTTTAGTTCTTGGTATGAATTAAGTATGTCTGTGTTCATAGCAGGGGAAGAAGCAGACAACCCCCAACAGACACGATGCCGTAAGAAGTACGAGACAAAGTACAGGTAAGGGCAATAAATTTTTTATTTTGCAATTCATTATTCAGTAGTTTATTTAATATGCAGATTATTTCAACATATAGAACACACAAGTATATATATATGAATGCTGATAATGCAGACGAGGAGTCACAGTAATGTGGCTGAAATATGTCGACCAAACCACACACTAGAAAGTGAAGGGACGATGACGTTTCGGTCAGTCCTGGACCATTCTCAAGTCGATTGTCGAGTCTCAAGTCTCAAGTCGACAATCGACTTGAGAATGGTCCAGGACGGACTGAAATGTCGTCATCCCTTCACTTACTAGTGTGTGGTTTGATCAACATGCTGATAATGTGCTTAAAACACATTTTAGGTCAATATGATTATATCCAAGTACATATCCAATACAAGACCTCATCTTCAGGAGGACATAGCTTGCTGCCCTGAAGAAAGTGCAACACCGGGCAACAAAAATCATTCCAGAGATAAGTCAACTCTAGTACCAGCAACGTTGAGGGCCACAGGGCTAACAACACTTCAAACCAGGCATGACAGGACAGATCTCATTGAAACTTTTAAAATACTGTACTGAACAATTTGGAAGATGTTGATCCAGACAATTTCTTCAAAAGGTCAGATATAACACAAACAAGGAGCAACGGTTTCAAGCTCAACAAGTCACAATGTAGGACTGAGAACAGGAGATGCTTTTTCACCCATATGGTATAAACCCATGGAACCGCATACCCGCCGAAGTCGTAAATGCCAAAACTGTTAAATTTTAAAATCCAACTAGAAAAACTCATAAGGGCAAATGGGGGAATCTTTGACAAGCCACCGGCTTCCTGTCCTCGTCGAGGCCACTAAGAGTCTTATTGGACCCCGGGTAAAATTTAGTTAAATCCAGGTAAAATTAATGATGTATTTGCCCTAGGGGTGAAGTAGAAGTAATTTGGGGGCATGGGTTGTAAATTGTAATTTCCCTCAGATTCTTACAAAACATTAATTTACACGGTGATAAAATATGACAGGCCTAAAAGATATAATTTAGGTAATTTTACTTATATTGAGTCATTTACTTGTACTGAGTCATTCATGTTAGAGAAATGTTTTTTATTAAAATTTCTATTTCATTCAAAATCTCACAAAAAGTATAAAGTGAAATATTTTGTATATTTATTCTTAAGAGTCTTTTTCTGTACCCAATTCTAAACTAATTTTTTAGAATTTGTATGAAATTATTTTTCCTTCAAGTCTCACTAGATGCACTTTTATATATATACGGTTTAAATATAAATAGCCTTAAATTTATACTTTGTGTAATTAGTCTTATAGTCCTTTGCAAATATGGAAATCTTCTAGATATAAATTTAAATGTAACTTTTTCTTAAAAATCTCATTAGTGGTATATACTTTTATAGATGCTGATTAAGCAAAAATATATATTTGTAATAACTAGATTGATATTGGGTATATTTTATGGCATAGGGTTCAAGAGGTTTTGTGAATTTCATAAAGAATTTAATTTCCATCAAAATTTCACCAAAAGTATTTAAAATATAAATTTGGGTAAATAAACTAATATTGAATCTTGTTTTGATGTCAAAATAAATTTTGTATTGGTTTCATTAAAATTTTAAGCTAGCTTTAAAATCTCACCAGAGGTACTTTTCTTAAAGTTGGTTAGGTATGATGGGTCAAAGATAAAATTTTGGTAATTAGGCAGCAACATGTATACATTTAATTAATTAAAAAAAACATGAATTTGTGTCTTTTTAGATAATTTCATTTTATCCATAACACTGTGCTGTAATTTAGAAATTTTCAGTATTCCAAGAAATGTTATTCAATATTAACTTTTAAAAAATTATTTTTGCAGTGTTAAATATGAAAGCGAATATGAATGGGTTGGGCCATCATCAAAGGGCGAGACGTATGCTCTGTGCCGCTGGTGCATGGTAGACATCTGCATTAAGTCAGTTGGTGGTAAAGGCCTTCGTGATCATGAGATTACTGGACGCCATAAACAGAAGGCTAATGATCGTCCACTTCCACCACCTCCTCCTCAGCTTAATAAGTATGGAGAATGTTTAATGTATCAATTCCATTAAGCTTAAAAAGATAATTATAAAGTACAGTACTGTACAGTATGTGGGTTATGTTCGCAAAAGTTGCATAAAAAGAGTCTTAAAAATTGATGCAATTATATGATGCAATTAAAAATTGAAATTGAATTATGAATTTTATTGATAATGATCAAGGAAATTATAGGCCCATGAATTATAGGATAAGTGGGGTGCCACAAGGGTCCACTTTGGGACCTACTCTTTTAGTCATATACATCAATGACATAGACAAGAATACTGTATTACAAACTATATCATTAAATTTGCAGATGACACAAAGATTTATGGTAAAGTAGGAAATGATAACGAAATTGAAGCCTTACAAAGAGATTTACATGAAGTCCACAAGTGGTCAGAAGACTGGCAAATGCTTTTTAATATTGACAAATGCAAGACGATACATGTGGGGCATAACAACCCACACCATAACTACCAAATTAATAGCATTGCATTACATTACAGCAGAGTGATGAAGAAAGGGACCTTGGAGTCAAGATCCACCACTCACTGAAAGTTACACAATAGGTGGGTGCAGCAGTCAGAAAAGCTAACCAAACTCTTGGGATAATCAAGTGTACTTTTGACTATAAGGAAAAAAAGGTAATGCTTCAACTGTATAAATCTCTACTGCACCCCCACTTAGATAACTATCCAAGCATGGAGACCTCATTTTCAGAAGTTCATGGCTGCTCTGGAGAAGGTGCAACACCGGGCAACAAAAGTCATTCCAGAGCTAAGTCATCTCCCATATCAGGAGTGGTTGAGGGCCACAGGGCTAACAACACTGCAAACCAGGTATGAGAGGGTGGATCTCATTGAAACTTTTAAAATACTGAACAAGTTAGAGAATGTTGATCTGGATATTTTCTTCAGAAGGTCAGATGTAACACAAACAAGGAGCAACAGTTTCAAGCTCAACGAGCCATAATGTAGCTTCTGAGAACAGATGATTTTTCACCCCTCAGGGTTATTAACCCATGGAACTGCCTGCCCACCGAAACCGTAACTGCCAACACTGTGCTGAATTTCAAAATATACCTGGAAAAGATCATCAATGCAAATGGAGGGGGGGGGGGGAGGACCTTCAATAAGCTGCCGGTTTCCTGTTTTCATTGAGGCCACTAGGGTAAGTGGCCCTCCTTGAGGTTACCTTGAAGTGCTTCCGGGGTTTAGCGTCCCTGTGGCCCGGTCGTCGACCAGGCCTCCTGGTTGCTGCAGCCTGACATATGAATCACAGTCTGGTTGATCAGGTATCGGGTATCCGTTGGAGGTGCTTATCCAGTTCTCTCTTGAACACTGTGAGGGGTCGGCCAGTTATGTCCCTTATGTGTATTGGAAGCGTGTTGAACAGTCTTGGGCCTCTGATGTTGGTAGAGTTCTCTCTCAGAGTACCTGTTGCACCTCTGCTTTTCAACAGGGGTATTCTGCACATCCTGCCATGCCTCCTGGTCTCATGTGATGTTATTTCTGTGTGCAGGTTTGGGACTAGCCCCTCCAATTTACCCTCAGGTAAATCAGGTATATTATCCCATTCACATGATTTTCTGGTGCTATTATTGGTATTATATCTACTCTCTAGGTATTTTCTCATTGTATTTGCTAATTGCCTTTCCCTTATGGTATAGTAGTTACATATGGGTTTCCTCTCTCCCATACCCATTTCCATTACTTTACATTTATTTGCACTGAATTCCAGCAGCCATTCATCTGCCCACTCTTGAAGTTTGTCAAGGCCTACTTGCAGCATCCTACAGTCCTCTTACTCTCCTCATTAAAAGTTTAAAAAAGGGTCCCGGTATTACAGTCGGGTGTATCCTCGGCTCACAATCGAGAATTCTGGTTTGAATCCCAGGCGGCACAGAAATGGGTGGGTGCGTTCCCTTTCACCTCATGCCCCTGTCCACCTAGCAGTATTGTATATAGGTACCCAGGAAATAGTCAGCTAGATCTGGGGTTGCATCCTGGACAGGGCCAATAATTTGACCCTGGGGGTGGGGGGGTGGGGGGGATGCTCGGTATAAGCCTATCTTGAGGTTATCTTGATATAATTTCGGGGCTTAGTGTCCCCGCGGCCCGGTCCTCGACCAGGCCTCCACCCCCAGGAAGCAGCCTGTGACAGCTGACTAACTCCCAGGTACCTATTTACTGCTAGGTAACAGGTGCATCAGGGTAAAAGAAACTCTGCCTATTGTTTCTCGCCGGCACCCAGGATCGAACCCGGGACCACAGGATCAAAGTAAAGATAAAATTAATTTTCATTCACCTACTGTGATTATCAAAGGTTAAGTTCCTCAGGTTTTTTGTTCAAGTGACTTGTCTCCTCAAGAATCAGTTGATTCTTAAATCCTTAATAACCCCCCTCCCAAAAGGACTGAGCGGTGGCAGCATTTGCTTATAAAGAGCGGCCTTATTAGATTAGCCAGTAATATCACTTTGCAAGAGTTATCTTAAAACTGCAGGTCCTCTCACCTCCCCATGACTCAGCCTGTGTGTAGGCTTTTATAGACAGGGTTACCTCCCTTTGGCTGTCTCATGTTTATAGATTTAATTTTAAGAGATTGTATAAGGCCAAACCACATCAAATATTCCAGGTTACCATTATACAATTAAATATAATACTGTATAGCAAGTGTTACAACAATACAGCACATTTGGCAGGATTGAATATGATGCTGCATTATGCCATTGTGTCAGCCAAAAAAATGATTTGGTGGATTACGAGAACCTTTAAATCCAGGGATCCCATTACAATGATTGTACTATGCAAATCACTTGTGCTGTCCCGTCTTTAGTACTGCTCGATACTCGTTTTCCCCTTCCGAGCGGGAGAGATTGCCGAAATAGAGGGAATACAGAGAACATATATGGCATACATACACGACAAATTTTTGCGATCATCTCAAAGCTCTCCAAATGTCTAGCTCTCCCCTAGAAAGGAGAAAGAGTGAGTTATCAAATAATATACACATGGTAAATACTGGAGAGCCAGGTACCAAATCTACATGGTGATATAACAACATACTGGATTGAACGATATGGAAGAAAATGCAGAATAGAACCAGTGAAGAGCAGGGGTGCCATATGCACAATCAAAGAATACTGTATAAACATCAGAGGTCCGCGGTTGTTCAACATACTCCCAGCGAGTATAAGAAATATTGCCGCAACAAACGTGGACATTTTCAAGAGAAAACTAGATAGCTTTCTTCAAGAAGTGCCAGACCAACTGGGCTGTGATGGATATGTAGGCCTGCGGGCTACACCAAGCAACAGCCTGTTGGACCAAGCTCTCACAAGTGAAGCCTGGGCCAGGCTTAGGAGTGGAAGAACTCACAGTATCTCATTCAGCAGGTATTATATATTTCACATATTTCTAAAGGAAATTTTACCTAGCACCTTGGCTGATAGGTAATGAGAGATTTTGTGTGTTATGCTTGAATATATGTCTTTTTGCTCAATTTTGTTCATTTATAAGGAAGAAAATGAATTGAATTATATTTTTTCTCTTTAGTGCTGTATATCCTGTGTTGGAGGTTGAGGCAGGCGTTGAACAACATGGAGGAGAACTCCTTGGCTCACCCCGTCCTGCAACACCACAGACTCCAAACACTCCTCTAAGCACTCACAGGGATGACTTGCCCCATCCTCAAACACCATTACTTGACTTTGGAACTCAGCTTCCAACGACCACTTCACAGTCATCAGCTTCCAAGTCGACTGGGCCTCCTGCCCGTACTGCCATAGTTCAGCCAAAGGTGTGCAAGTTTGATAGTTGAAACTCATGAGAACCATTTATACAGTATGTCAAGATGTTTGGGCATGATTCTTTATAATCCTTTGTTTACCCAGCAGTATAAATTTGTTACATGGGGGGTTACTCAGTCATTGGCTAGGGAACCTTGAAAAGCCTAGCAGGTTTCCTGTGTCCCCAAACAATGGGAAACTAAATGATTATATTTTAATAATTGATATTGAAATTTGAAATAACGTACATAAGTATTATACGAGAATCAATCAATAATTGTAGCAAGCTGACAATTATTGAAATTGTTTTTTATATTTGACTATTGAAACAAGCCTTAGTGTACAGAGAACTGTAACAGGCCTACACCTCACCTCACTATCCTCTACCAGGTTGGGAAGAAGTATTAACTGTAATTAGTTGTACAACTGGGAAGTGGTATTAATTGTTACTAGTGAATCAAGTAGAACTAACAGACCCATCTCATTATCTGCACATAAGCTAATGAGAATATGGAGCAAGTATATTAATGACATACTATACTTGCTACAGAACATTATTATAAATCAATTTATAGTTCATAAGTATAAATTTGTTATGTACAGATGTATTAAATGGAAAACTTTAATTGATGGTAAATGATTTTGTGTAAGGATTATTTACTTTTAGGTTGGAGAGTCGTTGGTTATTGAATATGATGACCCTAATAAATGTAACACAACGTTGCCACCAGCATCAAAATCAACAAATGGACCAACTGTATCAATAAAGAGAGAAACAGAAGAGAATGTAACTGTGACCACAGATGACCTGACATGTAATGTGTGCGGCCAAGAGTATGCACAGTGGACACAACTCAAAAAGCACCTTGTGGATCATATTCTTATGGCACAAAATTCTGCCGATCCTAAAACTAAGGTAACTGTTATATTATTAAGGGGGTAATACTTCTAAATTACCTTGTCTGGAAGTGGTGTTCAACACATTAGATTCATTGTTATTTAATATACATGTTGGCTTCAGTGCCAGGAGGAGGGTACAATTCCATATCTGATAGCGAGTAATTACATAAAACTTTTCTGGTCATGGGGTCAGACCACAAATGGATCCCTCTGAATCAATGCATGATATATATGAGAGAGAGAGCTTATATGAGAGTAAAAAAAAAAAAATTAGTAAGCATTTCAATCTTTCCTGATGATCTTTATGCTTGTTAAATACCCTTCTCATTTGTTGTCAATCTCCACACTAGTTCATGTGATGTTTGATAACTGGTTATATACAGTACATTTATTATTATTCCTGTACTATAATAGCTTGCTAATCCGGGCCCCGTTATCCCAAACCTTTGGGTAATCCGGACAGAATCGAGACAGAGTTTTGTCTGCCAAACATGGAGAGAAATCCAGATTACCGAGTTTCAACCTAATTATTGAATGACATTGGGAGGCCCATCCGACTCGCCAGAAGAAGCCTTAGCAGCTGGCAGTCAAGTGACCTTGCTGATCAACCCTAACCATGTAAATTTGTTTATTGTGTGTGGAAATACAAATTATTTAGGTTGTAGTACAAAAAAATTCTTAATATCTTAATTCTTGGATGGTCATTGAAGAATTCCTGTAATCCAGTTGTCTGGCTAACTCAGAGAGGGATGGGCCCCATATGATCTGGATTATCAAGTGTTATCAGTAATTTGCATTTAGAAAAACTAAGTCCCAACTGGACTAACAAATGGCAAAGTCGATAACGCTTCTAGAAAGTCAAGGGGCCACAAAGACTGACAGCAGTCCCAGTGGTGGAGTGGTTAAGACACTCGCCTGGCATTTCGCAAGCGCTTTGTCTTGGGTTCGTATCCTGGCCGGGGAGGATTTACTGGTCATCAATCCTTAACTGTAGCCTCTGTTTAACAAACAGTAAAATGGGTACCTGGTTGTTAAACGATTTGGAGGGGTCGTATTCCTGGGAACATAGGATTAAGGACTTGCCCAAAAAGTTACGCATACTAGTGGGTGTACAAGATGTGAGAACTCGCGTATTAAAAATGGCAAACTCAATTACTCGTCTTCAAAAGTTAGAATTCACAATGTCTCAGAAATCTGACAGTCAAGAATCACCTCTCAAAAGTTAAATCCACAAACCATAAAATTGGACTAAGTCCTGAATCTCCCTATTTACTTTAATATTGAATGAATGGATGGTGAAAATTCAGTATGACCTAACCATCAAGATCCAAGACTATTCTGTCCTCCATGCAGAGATATTTAGGAAGGTAGGTCCTCGGCCTAATTTCCCCACCCCCATAAACGTTGGTTTAAATGTATGCTCTATGTTTAGTGAGTAAAGGCTGTTTCCTATGTGAAGAGTTCATCGATTGATTAGAAACAGCTTCTCCACAAATAATTGAACAGGGACAACTAATATCAAAAGAAATGTGATTTTGCACTTTTCAGAGTATATTTTAGTAATCACACTTAGACCTCATATTGCAAAGTTCAACATACATGTATACTGTAGTGTTGCCAGCACTACTCTCACTGTCGTCCACACTGTCTTTCCTGTAGCAAGTAACGTGTCATACAGGCTTCCCACATGCTGTCCTCAACACTTTCAACTTTATAACAAAAATATTGTATGCTTTTTTTTCTTTGAGTTTTTCACTCCAAAAAGAGTAGAAAGAAATCTGTCTTTCATCATCTTACTTAGTAATTAGGCCTACTTAAGCCTCTGGTGCAGCAGTCATGAACTAATAATTAATGAATAAGCATTAAGAATATCTGATTGAGAGAGTGACTTATTTTTGTGAATTAGAGAAAGATGTTACATATATGAGAATGAAATTCTAAAACGTGAAACATTATTCAGGTGAATACACGAGGGAGAGGTAGAACCCCAAGCAGCAAGAATTCTGGTCGACCACCTCGAGCAGTCAAGGCCATGGCACTGAACCAACAAAAACCTGTAAGATGTTAATTAAATTAATGATTCTTATTTAATGATATACCTAATATCATAAGCATATGAGACTTTTATGATAATTTTTTCTCAACAATGCAGGTGGCTGACCCAGACGAATCATCAAAAACAAAGCGACGTGGACGGCCTCCTGGTAGCCGCAACAAAAGTCGTACCACTTCATCAAACCCACAGGTAAATCATCCATTACCAAGAAGAACTGTCCGTCAACGCACAGTACAAAGGGTCAGCACAGTCCAGGAGGATGCTGTAGATGATCCTCTCTGTGTAGAATCTGATGCTTGTGAGATGACTGTCAATGATAGTCATATAACAGTTAAGGAACATAAAGAAGAAGAAGAATTAGAAGAGGAAGAGGCAAGGTTTGTAATTTAATCACTTGGCATACTTGTCTGTACCTTTTTTCTTTTCTTTTTTAAATTTATGTACCTACTTTCTTAATTTGTCTTATGCTGAAATAAAATTCTAATTAGAAATGGATTTAAACTTTATGGATTATATTAGTATGAACATCACAATATCACCACACCACAATACCATTACAGCACAACACACAACCACCACCACTCCATCATGACAATATTAAGACATTCACTTTACCAGACACTCATATTCACTTTACCAGACAGTGGTCTGTTTGGCTTTGCCTACCATTCTGTGTGCCTTCCCTGGTTGATGGCAAGTATGATATACTTTAAATGTAAAGTGTTCATAGGGAATTGTTCCCTGTGTATTTCTGAGGGGGCCAGGTTCTGGCTCTGGTCCCCGGTAAGCAACAAGAACTCTGTGACTGATGACCCCAAACAGAATAGCACTATATCAGTGGGATAGCTTCAGGGAGTTGATGGGGCTCCCCACAGAAAGAAACTTGAGATAGTGCTTGTTAAACCAAACAATACAGTACAGTATGCTCATCATATTCGTTGTGTGCATTACAGCACACTATACTCACTACTTCAACATGTTCTCATTGTGCCCCTTATACTCTTTATACCACTATTTATGTCCAAGATCTTTATACCACTATTTATGTCTAAGAGATATACCAGCCCAGGTATAGATTTCTATCAATTACAAGGCTACAATCAGAGCATATCAACAGTAGTTTTTTTGTAAGTTTCTCTATTTAACAGTGAAGAAGAAGCAAATGACATCCCTGGTTGTGAAGATGAAGCAGATGGGTCTGGAAAGAGGAAACCTGGTCCACTTCAGTGTCGTGTTTGTCGTGTTGTGTTCTACAATAGGTAAGTACAATACATCATAAAAATCAGCAAATTAACCCCTTCAATTGGTCTTGCTGCTCCCTCAGTAGCTCTCTGGTGTTTAGTGCTATGGTACCACAAAGACATATGAATGCTACCAGTAGTTGGGTGCAGGTAAACCAATCCTCCTGCCACGTCAGCCAGCAGCCATCAGATAGCAGCCCAGGACACCCAGGTAGCCAACTTAACCAAACCCTCCTTAATTTTCCTAGTACCTCTAATGATGCACAGACCTTTGTAAGGTCCTTTTCTCCTATATAGACAAGTGTTGTTAGTGTTCCTTGTAACATTCTGGGGTCATTCATAATGGGGACCCATACTTTGTTGATGCTTCATGTTTATGCTCCCTAGCCCCTGCATGTCCCTAGTTATTTATTTCACTGATAGTGTTTCAGAGTTCTCTTCTTTTGTATTGATACACATTTCCCTTTCACCTCCAAAGTCTGAGGTGTGGGGAATTACCTTCCTCTCCAAGGCTTCTCCTTTGGATTTATCACTGTGTCCAGGTAGTGCTTTTGGCTTCGTTCACAAGGTTGGACCAGTTCATGTGGAATAGTGCTGAATGTGGCTTTGTGCTGGTTATACTAATGTGTTTGGCATCTGACCATGACTCTTGTTTGGGTTAGAGCCTTGTATTGTCTGTCCATGTGCTCTAGGGCTGCATTTAGTGATGTATATGTGGCATCATACAACTTTCCTTATTCCTTAATTAACAAGGTAATTAATTGACCCACTTTGGGGCTCAGTTCCCAGGCCAGAGGGATTTCTTCAGGTAAGAAATACTGTGTTTCGGTAGTGCCAGCTGCTGTCCCCACAACATAGCACGAGTCTGAGGAGTTGACCTGACAACTTGCTGAGGATTTCCAGTCTGGTCTCATTTCCCCAAGCAAGTAATAATATTGTCTGTGCCTCTCAGTCCCTGCTTGGACTTTTACATACTTGCCAGTATACAATACTTATTGTGACTGATAACGTGTGTTTGCCTAACCCTTGTTTAGTGGTTGAGCAAGACACTAAATTTCTTATCATGTTTCCCAGCTCAAAAGTTTTAATTTTCAGCTCTTCCTGTGGGTAGCATTTTTAGATCTTTACTTAGGGGTCTGGACTCTGTCCTTTTTGCAGGTTCCAGCAGTCTCACCTCTTCCATAGGATCCATGTCCAGATGATTTTTTTTTTTACTTTTATTTTATAAATGAAATAATTGTACTTTTTTTTTTTTTAATATACATGGTTTTAGGATCTCAGCCAATCTTCACTTATGATTTTAGGTCTTTGGTACATTGAACTCTGGGAGTCATGTGGTGGTGCTTTTGGTTTTGCATTCTTCCTTGAGTGGATGCCATTTGTTAGTCCTGCATCTTTAGTCTCTTGCTCTAAGGTCCAGCTCTTCTAGGTCATCGAGAAGGTTGCATGGTTCCACATATCCGATGTCTTTACACCTTCTCTTGATATACAGAAATTCTCCACTGTGGCAGCATTCTTTACAAATACACTTGTCTGTGGCTAATATTCAGGCTCAGGGTTTTAGGTAGTCACTTGTGTTGTGTTTGGGCATCTGACACACCACTAATGCTCCTCTACTGAGCCCAGCTTGTATGCCCTATTTGCTTGTGGGTTAACCTTATTCATTTTTATCCTTTTTCCTGATCTTATGTACCTTTTCCATAAAGCCATCTTTCTCTTCAAGGTGCCACTTTGATTATGCTCCAGTAAGCTATTGTGGAGGGCCTTCCCACAAATCAAGCATTGAATAATGAAACATCCCTCTTCCCACTCCTTCCCTGTCATGCTCTTCTTTCCTGTGGGCATTTCATTACATTCAGTGCTTGATTTTTGGGATGTATCCTGTTTGCAAGTTGTAGATTCTGTATGCAAATACTGTGTGTAGAGTAATGTCATAAAAAACACACCTCTCAGATATATGTCTGGTAGGCAGTCAAATGTTTGAACATGTTCTGGTACAAAAACAGAGTGGAAGCATATGATCATGATGAAAAAAGAACCAAACCAACCAGCAAAACGAGCATGAAGCCGATTGGTATTCCATTGGATTTAGTGTGCCTAATTCCCCCTGCTTTGGTGATGTGTATGCCATACTGGTCACCAAAAAGAAGGGGAATTAAGCACAAAGTAATTGGTCACAGATATTGTACTGGTATTCATGAAGAATGAACCAGGTCCAAAGTACAGATACTGAGTGTAAATTAGTCCACTAATCACGAGCGGGAGGACTGTGAATATAGTAGTACGAAAGATAAAAGTCCTAAGGTGTCCCAATTTATACAATTATGTAATGTAACAATTATACTCTATATAGATATGCATTGGCTCCTATACACATAAAGCAATGTCTTAAAGAATAAAACCAAATCAACTTAATAGTCACACACACAGAAATCACAATAGCATGATGCATCAAATGAACAAAAGGTGTGCACGGCCCTTGTGGATTTGTTCAACTTAATAGTCGATTTGTCCATGCTTGCCAAACTGGCAATGGACACAGTCAAGGAGATTGTAACGAAGTTTGGATTTTGCAACCTTGAGTTGAGCATAATGTCACTTGGTTGTGGTGGGAGAGGTGAAGCAGTAATGGTAGCTAGTTTGGCAACTGACCAGTTGACAGTCACTTGTTGATGCCAGGAATAGCTTTAACTTTATAATAAAAAATAAGAATATGTAAATCAAATCATTCAGGGCTGGATTAAGTAATCTCCAGTCACTTTTGACATATGACCTTGCAATGGTTCTTGAAAATTCCGGGGCTCTGACACTACGTTTATTTTGTGTAAATTCACTTATGCTGAGGCTCTCCTAAAACAACTCTCAGGTACAGTGTAAGCCGACTTGTGTAGTTTGTACTACAATAATCCCTCACAATGTTAACACTACAGAACACTGGTGGCAGCCCTAGAAATGTGTGGTAGTTAATGCATTGGAGAGACTACTTTGAATGTATATAAATTGACTGACTATTTGGTAGAGGTGAATTGAGAGAGCATCAGCGATCAGAGCATAATAATGGGCGGCCATACCAATGCAGCCACTGCCAAAAATTCTTCACAACCAAAAATCACATGGAGGTTCATGTACGGCATAAGCACACTTCGGGGCCAAATCCTTGTCAGTGTGCAATGTGTGGCAAGGTCCTCTCTTCCCGAACCAACCTAAGAATACACATGCGAATACATAAAGGTTAGTTTAGGGTGATCTTAATTAAAATTTATTCATTTAACCACCATGTTGTTAATGAGGATAATGAGATAATTGACACTATAAAGAAAGGGAATTCTTAATAATTGACATTGAACAAATTTATGTAAATGTGTTTGCTGATAATGTGTCATATTTTAATTCATTTTTGTACAGGAGAACGTCCATTTGAATGTCCTGTGTGTCATAAAGCATTTAGTCGAAAAGCCAACATGGAAATGCATCTTGTTTACCACACTGGAGAACGGCGCTTTACCTGTGAAATTTGTGGTCAGTCATTTTTTGCAATCAATGCTCTCAAAAGGCACACAAAGTTACACACAGGCAAGTTTATATTAAGTATGCTTTAGTTTGTGCTAACTGCTATCTCTTAATGAGATTATGAGTTTTATGTATGCTGCTACTGCTTTTTTTTTTTTGGTGCAGTCTCTCTTAAATGATGATGTTTTGTTTCCTAACTTCCCATATGCTGCAGATGTTATTTTGTCCACATTAGTTCCCAGTGTTAGTGTTAGGATTATATCCACTCCTAGATCTTTCTCTTATTGTTTCTTATAGTTGCTTTTGCAGTTATTAGCAGATCAGTATTTGATGCTTTATTTAAATTGTTAGTTTGTGAGGGCGTGTCGAGTTTAATGTTTCTTCTTTTGTCTGATAGCAAGTTGGTTTTCCAGTGGTGGCTTGGGTTAGAATTACCACTTTATCCCTTTCCAATTCCAGTACTGTACATGTTTTGAATGCCTTCATTTTATACATTATAAGGGTCTCTACCACTTTCTTTTTAGTATTATATTTTTGGATATACAGTGAAGTCCTGATAACCTACTACAGTATATATTAGGACTGAATTCTGTTTTTTCCTTGCATCTGATATTCTGATGGATCTAGATTTTTGTTGGGCTATTATTTTCAGCAATAGAACATGCATTTTCATGTAGTTACCGTATGTATTTTGATAAAATGACATTCAAAATTTATGTATTTAATATAAAAATAAAATTTGCATTCTTTCGATGTTGTGCTTCAATGCAAACTCAAGATTAATGAGTTAATATTTATAGCTAATCTGTAGCAATAAGCAACACATAACCATAACCAGATTAGATTAAGTTCAATTTAAACCTGGAGCCAGATTCACGAAACAGTTATGCAAGGACTTACAAACCTGTACTGTACATCTTTTCTCAATCTTTGGCAGCTTTGTTTACAATTATTAAACAGTTAATGAGCTCCGAAGCACCAGGAGCCTGTTTATAACAATAACAACAGTTGATTGGCAAGTTTTCATGCTTACAAACTGTTTAATAAAGGTAACCAAAGCAGTCAAAGATTAAGGAAAGATGTACACGTTCGTAAGTACTGTAGCTGCATCGTGAATCTGGCCTCTGGAGTTCAATCTACCAAAATCCAAATAAGCAGAACTGTTCTGTAATGCACTATTAACTGAAACATCACCATTTGTTAATACACTTTGCACTGTAAATATAATTAATTATTAGCTTTTAGTGTATTTTATACATAGTAATGGCTCCTCTCAGGTGAACGGGATTATGCTTGTGAGATCTGTGGAGCTACTTATGTGACGGGAACTGATTTGCGGCGTCATAGATTGAAACACGATGAAGTTAAGCCATTTCCCTGCCAGCTTTGTGAAAAACAGTTTACACGCTCCCATGACCTTAAAGTAAGTCCATTTGTGTTACTTCCCAATTACTGTATAGTCATTAAATAAGTACAGTACCATTATACAAATTTTCATAGCTTTTTTCTGGGCTGGGCTAACTTAAATTGATGAAATGATCACAGGGTGATTCTGCATTGCAGTTAAATTTCATGGAGACAGTTTAGCATAACCCAAGTTGTTAACAAGATATGTTGGGTGTTTGGTTACATAACCCATTCCTAGTTAGCTCTGGTGAGTATTTGCCATACTAGAAAAAAAAAATCCTAAGTGCCCTAGCTTCCTTCCTGTGCATTTATAAACAAATGCACACCATGCCTGGTGTACAACCTATTAGCCAGTATTTCACACAAGGTGACCATACAAGCAACCATTGATGCCATGCAAAACTGCTAAGACTTAGCAGGAGTTGGAAGGCCTTAGTGATAAGCAGGGGTGCAGTGCTAATTTTATAGGTGCTGGAGCTTTGGTGGGCCTGACAAAGTCCTATCCTGGGAATGTTTGAAAAAGTGAACGCATTCTTGGAAAAGCTGCCCTGATAAAGCAGTGACAACCCGGTGTGTGAACATGTTTAATGGCAATTTGCTGTCTCGTTTTAGGAACATCCTAAAACAAAGACAAAAGCAATTGTCAATAGATACGTTCTTTGCAAAAGTAGAGAAAAGAAGAGCCAGTGATAGTGAACCACAACCCGGTCCCAGTGGGGTGAAATTCCCAAGAAACGAGAGCCCACCTGACTCAGAGGTGGATTCTCCTTCCACACCATAACCCCTCTACTCCTTCCCACCCCCCCATCGTCTCCCACAAGTCAGCAACTACTCTTCATAAGGTAAAGTGAACATGAAAACAGTACAACAAAACATTTATAATTACATGTGCAGTATTATATTTACATAAAAAAATGTCATACAAGTATGGATGTTTTTGGGATTAAATTTATGTCCTTTATTTTAAATGGGAAAATTTGTTTCTCAAGACCAGTTTTCCACATAACGAGCTCGGTGCCAGAACGGATTAAACTCGTTAATAGAGGTGCCACTGTACCATTTAAACATTTTATGTACTGTACTGTATCACTGAGCGTGCTTCTAACAAGCATTATTAACTTTGGACAAGAAAATAAGCAATGATCCCTAAACATGGAAGTGTTAGGACATTCATTCTCTTATCAAATTTCTTCCAGTCAGCTTTGTACCCTACCACATCTTGTGTGCTGTTGTCAGATGTAACACACTACTCAATTTTTTTTTCTTTATTCAAATAAAATATATGACATCCATGTCAGATTGTAATTAAAGTTCCTACTCTAATTGTAGAAAGCTCCAATTATTGTTTTTCATTCATATTTTGCAATTGTAAATATGTATTCTATAAAAAAATGTTTACCTTCAATAATTTGAAAATTATTAAACATTTTCAGGTACATGTGAGGTACCACAACAAAGAACTTCGTTATACCTGTGATGTCTGCAATAAGCAGTTTGTGGAATCTGGTAACTACAAGCGCCATATGAGGCGACACACTGGAGAGAGGCCTTACACATGTGGTATCTGTCTTCTTACATTTTCACAGGTATCTTTACTTCCTATTGAAAGTACTCTATCTTTGTAAAAAAAAAAATTAAACATAAGTGTTGAGTGTAGATGAAATGCTCCTTTCTAACCTGGGTACTCAGTCATTTCCTTAGGCAATATTCCACTCTCCCCTAGACATTGCAAACTCAGCCAAGGCAAGTGCAACTTTCGATCTTCTAACACAGTTGGATTCATTTTTAAATGCCACCAGCAGGCCATATCAGGAGCAAGAGAAATACTAGAGAATTCTCTGTCCATCCCTGAACAAAAGTCAGGTATTCCTCATTACACAAACCTCCTCCAAGCAATTCTCAAAATCATATAGACTATCAAATAATACTTTACATCACTTAATAACCAATAAACTAGTTTCCCACTAGGTCACTGCCACCATCTGGCAGCACAGGTAGCAAACACAGCCAGCTGGATAAGTTACACTTCCTTGGGCAAAATTCAAAACAGCCACACTAAGATAAGGAAACAAAACCAGTACAAGGAAGAGAATAGCATACCTGTACAAGATAGGGTTCACAAGGAGCTGGAAAAACTGCTCATGCCAGTTTTGTAAGCTTGAGAAGACATACACTGTCAGAATACATATACACTTTAAGCATTCAATAAAGCATAGGTCCACTGCACAAGATATCTAATAACCTTGGGATAATCTACTACCTTACTTGAAAAAGAGGTCTTGTTTGCTGTGTTGGTCCTCACAGAAGGATGCTCGGGAGACAGTGAGATGCATTAACAAGGTAACCCTGTTTACACTATCAGTGCTGCCAGGTGGTAGTGGCTGTCAGGTGAGCCAACAAGTTCATCAGTTTTAGTAACAAAGTAGTACTTAATCTATTACACTTCAAGTACATATTCCAAGATGGTTTTTGAATGTAGAGAAATGCATGGTTTTAGCAAGTCCTTCAGCACTGGATTGAACATTCTTTATCACCCTTCTTCGTGCTATAGCCTAGGTGAAGTCATTTAGAAAAGATTTCTACGGCATTGGGAGACAGTAAACAACACTTGCCAAGGTTGGAATTCACAATGTCCTGGAAGGATCAGGATATTGCTAATGGGAGCAACTAAGTGGCCTATACAGAGGAAATTAATACTGTATATATATATTTCTATTTTATTGAAGTAAATTTGTAAATTGCCTATTCTCAATTTATTTCATCTTATAGTACCTTATTAGCAATTAATAAACATTATGGGGATTCATTGCCTTTTAACAGCTTTGTCATAGTATTTAATATTTAATGGGTATTTTAATACCCATTAAAATATTTTGGCTTGACTGCTAATAATTTAGTCACTCATAAATTTGAATTAGAATTTTGACAAAAACTATCACAGTAAGCTTATTAAGTTTGTTTAAAAATGGTAGGAGCTATGAAGAAAGATTAGGTGTTACTGATTAAAGTTGATACAGTGTAAAGTGTTTGTGACACCTGGAACACTGTTGATGGAAGCACATCTGGGAACAACCACCCATGTAATTGGAATATAACATTACATTTTCTTCAGCTAATAATTTGATAACTGTGCATGAATTTACTTAACACATGCATTCATAGAATGTGTATAGTAATGGTACATTAACCACTGCTGCCTGGGCTCCAAATAGAACATAGCACTGTGAACATCGTGGATAGCATTGATTCATTGATATTTGAACATTATACACAGTCATTATCACACTCAGGCTCTTGTGTAATACTATCATGGCTAAATAATACCAGTTACATATATATTTTGACATCATTAGGTGATGCTATGGTCACAAACTGAACAGCAGTGCTGTGAACTCATGGTACATGCCCCAGCCTTGGTTGCTCACTCAGTACTGAGGCTCTCACACCCGGGAATGTTATCCACTATTTAAAAAAAAAATGGCCTCTGTTTACAAGAGCCACGAGGAAGCTGATGTGAACCCCATTTAGCCGCAGGAATTTTGAATCATATGCTATAACTACAAGATTCCTGAGGCACGTTGCGCACCACCTGTCGAGCGCCTACAGGTGCGTTGCGCAGTGCAGTGGTTAAGAGAAGGGATTTATATTAGGTTTGTTTTATTATGTCTGATGAAGTTTATGACCTATTGTAATTGCATCGCTTTCCTGATGTAGTAACAGTTGCTTTTTTTTTTAAAGGTTCATCATTTGAAAACCCATTTGCGTACAAACCACAGTGAAGAGGCAAGTGCTAGTGAAGAAAGTTCCCAGGGAGCTACTAGTGGGCGTGGAAGACTGCCACCACACCGTAACCCTAGGATACCATGCAGGCACATTCCAAAACCTCCTCAAATGCAACAACCACCTATTCATCCCAGCCACGGTCACCCTCATCCTCATTCCCATCTGACACCCCACCCTCATGGAGTCGGAAGTGGTGGCACTGGGGTAGCTGTACACTCTGGTCAGCCAATATCTCCTCCCATGGCTCATTCTGGCACTGTACCTGGGAGTGTAGCATCTACACACACCACCCAGATCCCTGCTTCAGGTGGAGTGAACCATCCAGCAGCAATGTCGGGCTTCCTTCATGGGTACAACTCTCACATATACAACCACAGTGTGATGCCACATTATCCTGCACTCTTTGATATGTGTCCACCACAGAACTGTGTTAATCATCTTCCAACACATTAAACCAAATTTGTATAATGGTTTGTACAATTACAATACTGTAATTTATAATTTTTTAATAATTTTTAAATTATCCAGGTTAATACATCACTTATTATTTATTTTAATAATTTTTCCCAATACAGTATTACTAACAATCCTGAATTATTTCATATGTAGTATTCTTACTTTTCATTAATCATTATTTGTAATATGGAAAAATATGCCTCTAACTTTAGCGACATCCCAGATATTTGAGTGTTCTTTTGGAAATTGGATGTGCAATTTTGTTTGGCTTTGGTTATGAACACTTTCACTACCTGATGACGTTGTCGTTGAAAGTACAGGTACAGAAAAGTGAGAATTATATGCTCTTTTATGCAAATATCCCTTTACAGTATTTTATTGTTAACAATTTGATACCAAATTGAATGATATAGAACAAAAATTGAAGTGAGAAAGCTGAAAATGGTATAAACATTGGAATGGTGAGCTCTCGGGCAATGTTCAGCCTACCTTGCAGTGCATGGCGGGTCTAAAGTATAGGAAAGAGAGACATATGTTCTTACATGCAAATCTTCCTTTACATCATTCCATTGCAAACAATTTGATACCAAATTGAACGACATAGCATGGAAATTTAGCTCAGAAAATTGAAAAGAAGAGTATAACCATTTTTGTGTGGTTGCGAGCTCTAGGCATACCTTACAGTGTGCGGCAGGTCTAAAGTATAAGAAAGCGAGACATATGTTTTTATATGCACATATTCCTTTAGTAGATTCTATTGCGAACAATTTGATACTAAATTGAACGAGGTAGTACAAAAATTGAGGTCAGAAAGCTGTAAAAGAGTTATAAACATTTTTGCATAGTGATGAGTTCTTGGCCTAACATGCAGTGCGTGGCGGGTCTAAAGTATAGAAAACTGATATTTATAAGTTCTTGCCGATGCATGGATACTTGCCAGTTACCGGCTTGGTACCTTCTTTTGATAATTACTTACTTACTTGCCAGAGTTACCATAACAATCCTATTACTGTGACCCTATGAATTTCTATAAAATGTCCTGTATTTTAAGATGAAGTAAGTAAGTAATTATCAAAAGAAGGCACCAAACCGGGAAGACTATGTAGCACCATCAAATGTGCGGGATAATCAGAGTGCGCTAAATATCACCAAGGATGCCAATACGAGAACAGAAACGCATAAGGCGAACGATATTGAAAGTATCCGAGTCACCAAGAATACTATCGAGAGACAAGCGACCACGGGGGACGGTCGGAAAACAAGACACACGCTCGTCTCGAAAGTCAGGACATTCAACAAGGATATGCACGACAATGAGGGACAATGCAATTAGGACAATAAGGAGCAGGGCGGCACTCCATCAAGTGACCATGAGTTAAGCGAGTATGGCCAATACACAACCTCGCTAGAGCCATTTCCCAACGCCGGATACGGTGGTAGGAGGACGGCCACAAGGACACACAACTTTTAAGAGTACATAGTCTGTTACCAGTAACAGACGACCGACAAGCCTGCCAATGGGTAAGGATGGAGGAATGGATAGCCGGGTAAAAGTCGAAATAAGGAATATCTTTACGAGAGATGGGACAAGAGCGGACAGCTTCCCTGGCGGCAGCATCCGCATGCTCATTTAAAGAGAGACCAATATGGCTGGGAACCCAACAAAACTCAACCGACTTAAATTTACTGTGAACAAGAAACAGCCAATGCTGGATCTCAACAACCACTGGATGAACCGAATTAAAGGACCTGAGAGCCATGAGGGCACTACGAGAGTCAACAACAATGAGAAAGCAGGAGACGAAGAGCATAGAGAATAGCATAAAGCTCCGCTGTGAAGATGCTAGTCTCCGGAAGTAAGCAACACATATGAGTGGAATCAGGAAAAACAACAGAGTAGTCAACACCCACCGCAGACTTAGACCCACCGGTGAAGACGGAAACGGAGTGGGAGAAGAAAAGTGCTCAAGGAAAAGGCATTTTAGAACCATAGGAGGGGTAAAAGCTTTAGTGATGCGGGTCAAGGATGTACAAAACTGCGGAAGGGGGACTCTCCATGGGGGCAAAGAAGGAACAACACGAGGAGAAATATTAGAAATACGAACGCAAAGAGAATCCTGTAAGCGAGATAATCAGACAGAAAGAGGGAGGTGGTGAAGAGGATCAGGAACCGCAGGAGGGGTAAAAGTTAAAGCACGACAGAGGCGAGAGGAAGGATGTTGCAAGGACTGCGCAAGATAGCGAAGACAGTAGCGATCACGGTGGTCCCTGGGAGATAGAAAGCCAGTGTCAACATACAAGCCGAGGACGGGAGTCGAACAAAAGGTACCAGAACTGAGGCGCAACCCAGTATGGTGCAAAGCATCAAAGCCTTGTCCAAGGTAGGACAAGGCAGCCAAGCGGGAGGTTGCATCCTGAGAAGGAGCAGCAACGACACGTGCACCGAGACGGGTGGGGTGAAAAGTAACAGTGAAAAGTAACTCCATCTACGGAATCAACAAGGTGCCGATGAAGGGAGAAATCGTCAGGAGGCGCAGAATCAAGAGGGAGGAGATCAAAGTATTTGGCCCACGAAGCAGGACCAAACAAGGCTTGATACGCATCAGCGCGGGACGGAATCAAGCGAGTGCGGCCGTGTGGAGGATGGCGGTGAGAACCCCCAGAGAGAGAGGGGTTAAAAGGTGCAGTAGTCACAACTAGAGACTGAGCCATGCCAGGGGGAGGTGGTCACCACTGGGGGCTTGGGGCTCGACCCAACCACAGAGGAAGGAGGGGAGCCAAGGGGAGTAGTCAGGAGGGTCAAAGGAGGAGCAAGGTCGGGGCCCAACGCAGCGGGGGCTACAGAGCCTGGTCTTCCAATACAGTCCGACACGGGGGCTTGGTCGCCCACCCCACGAGCCTGAGAGGGTACAAGAGGAACATTCATCAACAGACACGAAAAGAAACACTCATTCACAAATGTGTCCCCACACCCACCATGGAGCCACAATTAGAGGCAGGACACCCAACAAGAAGCTATCGCCGATCAAGCCGGGGCCTCCTAGGGGTGTGCGTTGTGAGTATACGCCCCACAAACGCCACCTTAAGAACCGTCAGTCCGTCAAGATCGGGTTCAGTGACGAAAGGGGGGATTGACAATAAAAGGTTACCCTCGCTCGAGACATTGGGTACTACAGTTCTATGGGTGCAAGAGTATGCCTCCTCAAGTACCTGGGCGTCAAAACAAAAGAAGGCCAAAAGAATGATCAAAACAGGCACAAGGTCAGCAGGAAATGACAACAAGAAAGGAGAAGAGGGGGGGGGGGAGAAAAATGAAACAAAAGGAAAAGGCGTCCAGCAAAATTTGAGAGGATAGCAGCAGGAGCACAAGGCTACAAAAGGACAGGGGGACTGCCCCAAGGAGCATCACACTCCGGCAGCCGCCCACCAAGCCCCCTCACGGCAGCAACGAGCTGGACAGGGAGGAGGATTTTAAGATGAAAAACAACTCTGTGTAGTAACTGACTAAAGTTTGGTAGATCAGACTAAAGTTAACTGAATTGACCTGAAGGTCACAGGTCTCTGGTGACCACTACAGGGACAGGAAGTTACCAGCTTATGTTAAATCCTAGTACTATATCCTTTGTGCCATATTTCAAAATGTTTTTAGGCATTGTATAAAGTGGGCTAATCTTTCCTTCCCTGGCCTAAGTAGGGGCTCTGTTTCTGTGGGTTGGAGCGCTTTATCTTCATGGCATAATGAGCTGTGCTCTTCACCAAGTTCCATGTCCACTTAATACTAAAGAACAACTTAACAGATACATACCAAGTTGGCATGTGAATCACTGATCCTGGGATTTAGTGTCTCCATCCCAAGTGCAGTGCATAAGGCTTGGGAAGCTACTGAGATAACACTCAGAAAGGTGCAAAAGTGTGAAATTTGTCTTTGCTTTTCTTTGTCTGGTTGAAATCACAATCAAGCAGAGTGAAGGTGGTCCACTTGTTTCTTTGTGAAGCATTAAGGTTCACCTTATAGCTACTGACTTTCTTTCCCAGATGCAACCCACAACAGTTGCTTAACTCCTAAGTGAATAGAGGCATCCAAATGAAAGGAAATATTGTCCTACCAGGGAACTTGAACCTGGATCCTTTTTCCTGAGACCTGACTACACTAACATATTGCAGTAATAGTAAAATTATGCCATATTTATTTTCATATTAATTAACTGTAAAGAATTTCTTACATTTTATATTTTTATAATTACTGAATAGCTGTAGCTGCTACAGATGCCAGCAACTGTTTCCAGTTTGTCACACAGATATAACTAGTTAAACCATACCTGGAGAGGGTTCTGGGAGTTTGTCTACTCCCAAGCCCGGCCTACAAGACGACTCTACTTCCTTCATGGCACTGCTGTTTACTGAATATAATGGTCACCAAAATGTTATATATTGCATGTCATTTGGCATATCATAATTTTGGGTTATTATTTAGTTATAAAGTTTGTTTACAAAACAAATTATATGTTGCAGACGAGGAGTCACAATAACGTGGCTGAAATATGTTGACCAAACCACACACTAGAAAGTGACATAATGGCTGTTATGTCAAAGATTGCAGTGATTAATTTGTATTTAATTAATATAATTGCATTCAAGGTCTGTGATTATTCAAATTCTGTGTTGTACATAACAGTACAAATTGCATACAGTATATACTGTATAATGTAAATATTAGATGGGAAAGAATTACTGTATATATGTGTATTACTGTATAAAATATTTTAATTTTTGCTTTTTAATACAGTACAGTACTATGTAATGTAGTGATATCTATGCAAAATCTTGTGTACAGGTGGCATATCTAATTTTTACCTTTGGTGAAATATTTCCTGCCCTTTAATTGTACACAGTGCATCATACTTCCTAATCTAACTTGGCTTAATCTAAAGCAACATACCCTCATTATAGTGACTATTAAGAGAGATCATTAGTTGTATGGTCACAACTGTTGGTAACTGGAGCATTAATTAATTTTTTAAATTAAATTGTGTTACCTTTAGTAGGTCTTTTGAAGGTGTTGTAAGCTCAGGTTAGCGTTGAAACAGTGTATAGAGCATGTATGACAGAGCACCATGACACATTTCACAATCTTACAATGTTCATTCATGATTTATCAAGTAGCCAACTTCTCTCTTGTAATTTACTATATTTATCATACAATATGGTAAAGTGGCTGAGGGAAATTATTTTCTTGTGTATTTGACCGTTTTAATCAAATTTCTCTATATAAAAGGCAAATTAAATTTGTAAAGTACTATGAAATGTATAGACATATATGTAATCAATGCATTTTGGCTACACAGTGGGTGTGACAACATTTAATAGCTTGTATACTTTTATAAGACTGGAAATGTTATTCATTTAATGACTTATTGTATTGAATAATACTGGTGGATGCACCCATGGTAATTTATATTTTTGTGTATATCAACAGATTTATAAATTGTATGCTACCAACTCATTCAGGTAGTAGGAATTACGTTCATCAACTTTGGTGCTGAATCTCGGAGAATTTTATTACTTACTGGAGTTCACTTGGTTGTGTCGAGTCTCAATGTATGATTACTTCTAAATAAATGTAAATGTTACTTATATTAATACTGTGAACATTCCATTTAAATATAGTCATATGATTTTTTTAACTTGAACTGCTTAATAAAAACTTATTTTTCTCACATTTTTTTTTCTATCTTTAATTGGTTCTCTTGTTTATCATTGTATTGTACAATATTATTGCAGATGGTACAAGTAACACTATTCCAACTGAGGATCCCAAGATCAGTTACAAATTTTGTTGGTTGTAGGATCCATATCCTTATTTATTGACAAGGTGAGGATCTATTCCTCTTCTACCACCCAACCTCTCCTTGTCTTTAGCTTTGAATTTGTGTTTTGAGGCAAGTTTCTCAACTCCTTTAGCTTTTATCAATTTGTCATTTTGATGCAAGGTCTAATATGATACAAATGTTATACCCATCCAGCTGTCTTGGGATCTGGTGCAATTCTGGGTATATTCCTCCTGTGCTCGAGATTTGTGATCATTATTTGTAAAGCATCAAGTTTGCCTCAGGATTACCTATCCTCACTATCTGTAAAATATTTAAAATCATGCACTTTACCTATACAATTTTCT